AAGAAGGTAAAGTCTTTCTCCTCTTGATTACATTCCCGCCAATAGTCCCGTAATTCCCAGTCCTCTTTCATATCAAAAAAGGCTTTAGGTAATTTTGCCTGCTTAAGAAGAGGAGAGGAACCTTTTTTGTCCCTTTGTACATCTAAGACACCGTTCCAATCCCCCATTAGTACCACGGATCTGTAGTCCAGCAAATTTATTTTTTCATGTAAGAGTCTATAAAATTGTTCCTGTTGCTGATTTGGTGCATATAATCCCACTATAAGTACTTTCTTACCATATAAGCCCAATTCAACCATCACATATCTCCCTTGGGGGTCAGACTCCACCAGACAAACTGGTAGATTTTGCTTAACATAGATAACAACTCCCCCCTTCTTCCCGGGAGCAGAAGATATGAAGTGAGATCCCAGACGGGCATTAACTAAATATTTCTGATCCTTAAGTAAAATATGAGTTTCCTGTAAGCAAATAACATCATTATTACGTTGCTTCAAATAATAAAAGATTTTTTTCCTTTTCTGAGGAGAATTCAATCCATTAACATTCCAGGTCAAAAACTTTGCCATCTCCCTTGGCCCGCAGCCTGGAGAAGACACCTTGGAGATCTGAAATTGCAACATGTGTTGCATGACTCTTGGGTCTTGCTCCTCCCACCGGCGGTGATACATTTCCAGGAGAAATCTCTTTGGCCTCTTTCTTACGTTGCTCCTTCTCTTTACGTTTATAAGCTGCACGAGTCATTCTCTGCTCTTTAACCTCCGTCTGGCGTTGCCCTTCAGCTTGCAGCATCCCAGCAGAAACCAAACCTAATGCCTCAGACTGCTGCTCCGCCTCTTTGCCACTCAGGGATTTCTGAACAGGTAAAGTTGAGCCTGCACCTAGGACTGAAGTATAGAATTCTCTAGCTTTATCAACCGTATTCAATCTATAACGTGTCCCCGCATGGCTCAAAACAATACCCATCGGGATTTCCCATCTAAATGGCATCGATCTAGCTTTAAGCTCATTAGCTAAGAAAGCAAAATCTTTCCTGATTCTTAAAATTTTTGATGGGATTTCCTTTAGTATGATGACATCTTGGGCAGCTATCTGAAATCTTTTATTATAAAAGGCTTGTATGATCTCATTACGCAGAGACTTCTTCGTAAAATAAATCACCACATCTCTAGGCAAATTCTTCTGCTTAGCAATCCAAGAGTTAAGCCTGTACACTTTTTCAACTTCTCTGCGTAATTCTCCTTTATCCATATCCAAAACCACAGCCAAATCAGTAAGGACCACCTCCATCAGATCTTGATTCATATCTTCCTTGAGGCCTCTAATCCTCAAGGCATATTCCATCTGCCTATACTGAAACATCAGAATATCTTCTTGTGAAGTCTCCACCTTCCTTTCCACATCTTGAATTTTATCATCAAAGGAATCAACTTTATCTTCAACTTCCTCGAGTCTTGCATCCAGCTTAACCACCACTGTAGCCAAACCTGAGACTGCTGCAAGTATATCTTGTCGCAAAATATTATTGTTATTTTCCAATTGATCCTTTATCCCACTTATTTCTTCTTTGAAGTCAGATTTAATTTCTGATTTAAGCTGTGTAGAAAATTGCTTCATTTCCTCTCTCATTTGAGCTACAGCCTCTCCCATTATACCTCTAACCTCTTGTGCTGAAAGTCCAGGCAAAGGAGGGGAGGGTGGTGGCTGTGCCGGTGGTGCATGTTTAAGTTGTTGTTGTGGTTGTGCAGTAGAAGTTATAGGAGAGGAAATCACCTTGGATGTTGTAGAAGGCGGCTGTCTCTTTGAAGCCATTTTAAATGACACAGTTCTCACTTCCCTTTCCCCCCCCCAAAAAAGATGAGGGGGAAAGAGAAAAATTTTTACTTTTAAAAGAGGCAGCAAAAACACTATAATCCTTGAAAATCCAGAGAAAAAAGACCAAGAAAAAAAAATCAAAAAAGAGAATTCAATACCAAAAGCAAAAGTAAAGTCCAGTCCTTAAAAGGAGAAAGTAAAACAAAAGACAAAGGAAAAAAAAACTCCGTCACTTTCAAAACGCCATCTTAATTCCTTCTCCACAGTAATAAAAAGAAAAAGGAGAAATAATCAAGACTAAATAAAAAAATAAACACCTAAATTATATAAGAAAAAATCCTTTAAACTGCTCTGTCCGGTTTTTTAGGAATTACTCACCAACTCTCTATAAGCACGGAGATAGAAGCGGCAGTTTCTTTTGCTTCCTAGGAAGCAAAAACAGCTGGGAGGCGGAGACAACAAGAGCTCCGAGGGAACACTCCTTTTACCCCCTCTAGAATTAAATCCAGAGAGGGTTCAGGGGTTCTACCTCTACTCTTGTACTCTCTGTCCCTTCCCTTTGCCTGGGAAGGGAATTCCGAGCCGCGGGCCAGCTGATGCGGCTCTAACACTTTCCCAGCTGGACGGCTAGAGGATAGCTGCCATCGCTGTCGCTCTGTACCGGAAGCTCATACTCAAGTCTTGAAGGGAAGTAAATGCCAGTTAAAAGAGTCAGTATTTTGATTAGGGCAAGGCAAACCTTTGAATCCCTGTAAATTGGATGCTGATCCCATTAGTTTTTTGATGGGTCGCAGCAGTTTAGTAACTGCCTTTCTCCCAGGTGTTGTTTTTTTCCTATAGTTTTCAAAACACATTCCCTGGGCTGTCATGAGCTGCTTCTGCAGAATGGTTCTGCTATAGTCAGTTGGGAAAGAAAGGAAGCAGGGGACCAGATCTGGCCTCATCAAACAAGGATAGCTGGTTCCAGGAATGTAAGCCATTTTCAAGTTGTTAATATTTTGGACCAATCTCCCCTGCTCTCATTTGTTACTCAGTCTGGGGCCAATTCAAATTAGCCGAGGTTGAGAGACTTCCTCTCCTGTCTGTCTCCTGAATCTCTTGAATCACTGGTTAAGGTAACTAGTTTAGGGTAAGCTTAAAAATACAGTCTATCTACCCAGCAGGGAATGTTGTCTTTGTAGCTTAATATTTAGGATCAGCTTTATGATTGGGATATAGAAATACTTACTCTGTTAGCTTAAGTAGTTGGTCCCTAGTTCTCAGGAAGATAAAGGGAAGGAGGGGGAAAGCATATTTGGACTTGCAAAATTCTGTTCTACAGCAATGTATAACAAAGTAATATTGTTCTATAATGATATTGGTTTCCTAGTCTGGTCTACCTTGAAGGGCTGACATCAATCTTTGCAGGTGTGAATGTGCTTCCTCTCTTCTTTTAACATCATGAGAACTAGGAAAGGGTTTGATATGTTTATTCAGACTACATTTTGCTCTGAACAGATCTTTTTTCATCAGGCTGTTTGCCTTGATAGTGGCTCTTCATCCTGTCCCTCAAGGACATTCCCTGCCCTGTATTGCTAGCTTGAATTTAGCAAGTGCTACCTGATGGCTTCATTTGGTCTTTGAGTGATCACTTAGGGCTACTCTCTAAAACCTGGCAGGATCAGGTAAAAGATGTGGTGGAATGGATTAAAATGTAAATGTCATTAAAATTAATTAAACCAAATTTATATGATTTTTCCCCCCTTGCAACATGCTCTTTTCCTTTTATCATTTTAAAAATTACAACTTGGCAGTAAGTTTTGAAGAGACCCTACAGTTACCTCTTTATTGCTAAAGATTAGAAACAGCACAGCAAGATTAGGCTAGCCCAGGGGTCTTCAAACTTGGCCCTTTTATGACTTGTGGACTTCAATTCCCAGAATTCCTCAGCCAGCATACCTGGCTGAGGAATTCTGGGAGTTGAAGTCCACGAGTCATAAAAGGGTCAGGTTTGAAGATCCCTGGGCTAGAATCTTTTATCTGTTGTAGTTTGCTTTTGTAGATTGTCTGATATGGGGAGAAAGCATTGGAAAGTGGAACTCCCCCCTATGTAATATTAAAGTGAAATATGCCACCCTGCTGCTTGGTTCTACACGTGCAGACCCATCCTGATTGCAAATCATGAGGGTAGATTGGGCAGCCAAGAAAGTGCAAATAAGATACGATAAGAGTGTTTCAGGTTTCTGTAGTCAAAACATGCACGTACTCTAGGTATTAACATTAGTTCAAGCTCATTTGAGCTTGACCGGGCTTGTAGGTTGTGATGTATTTTCTCTGCTCCTCTGCATTAGAAATGGTGGGCAATCTCCAGGGAATGTGTCCATGGAGAATGTATCAGAGAAGGGACAGCCTGCCATTTTAATCCCAGTTGTTCCAAATATTAGAAAATATGTGCACAAATCTGGGTCCTTAACTAACATTTTATCACTGTAAAAGTACTCACTACTAGAAAGGAAAATGCCTATATTTATCTAGCTCTGAAATAGAATTAATATTTGGGTGATATTTTTCAGTAAGATCATCTAATATATCGTCAAATACTTATACTCTGGTCATAAATGCATAGAGCTCCGGTCTACGAATACAGAATCCTACATTACAGATTTTTGTGTGCTCATAGCTACTACAAGTAGTCCTCAACTTACAACTATTCATTTAGTAACCATTCAAAGTTATAGCAACACTAAGAAAAGTAACGTATGATTGTTTTTCACACAATCATTACAAGATTCACATGGTCAAAATTTGGATACTTGGCAGCTGGCATGTATTTATGATGGTTGCAGTATCCTGGGGTCACGTGATTGTCTTTTTCGACCTTCCGACAAGCAAAGTCAATGGGGAAGCCAGGTTCACTTAATGACTGTGTTACTAACTTAACGGCTGTAGTGATTCACTTAACAACTGTGTAAAATGGAGCAAAACTCATTTAACAACTGCCTTGCTTAGCAATGGAAATTTTAGATTCAATTGTGGATGTAAATCAAGGTCTACTTTTATAGGATTGCCTTTGGCTTTTTTTCTGTTGCGCTGGAACCAGTGAGGACAACATTTGCTACTTCTAGATGTTCATGCTTGGAATTAATTCTAGATATTCTTGAAATGGCTGTCACTTTTCACTTGAAAACTGTTTTTTTGTCTGACAGGTCAAATGCAGAAACCTTTCGAAGATGCCTCCTTTGCGCTGAGGACTGGTGAGATGAGTGGACCAGTATTCACAGATTCAGGGATCCATATAATTCTGCGTACAGAATGAGTGTTTTGGCACCATGCACTTGGAAAAGAAAGGGTGATTGGGAAAAAAAGAACAAGAGAACCTTTACTCCAACCATTGGTACGCTCTCTATCCCAGAACAAACTTCATATCTAGCTTATTTTTTATTTTTGTTTATATATATGTGTGTATCCCTGTTTCATATTTCAGTACCTTATTTGACATATTGAAGAAATGTTTTCCCCCGCCTGTATTGATGCATGTTAGCTGGGGCAAAAAACAATTGAAACAAAGAGACCGTAGCATCTTTCATAAGACACAATGGCAGTGTTTTTAACAACAACAAAAAAGGAAATCCCTGGCTGCTTGAGTTTAATATTGACGGTTTCTTCCATTCAGAAGATATGTCTTTACTTACAGGGTCATGCTTCAATGCTTTCCCTCTATATCCAACTTATAATAGAGTTATTTATTATAGGGCTGCACTGATGGTGGTAGAGTTTAGCTCTCAGTGTATAAATAAATAGAATAAAAATCTCCTTTGCCATGATATATCCTGGTTTAAGTTCACAAGTAAAAATACCCCATTTCTTATCTCTCTCGCCCACAATTCAGTGGTATTCAGTTTTTAATTTGGCCAATCATTGATAAACTGTTTTTGGGTGTAAAACTAGAACACTCCTGTGACTCACTTTATTGCTGTAGATTTAGGAGTACACATTTCTCATTTATGATAATGTGCAAATTCCACTGGATTTCCAGCGTCCATTGAGGGTTGAGTTTCAGTAGATGCAAAGGGAGGTGATGTTGTCTGGATAGGAATTCTCTGTGATCACCTGAGCATACACTGCTGTCAGAAATATAAATTTGCCATATGCTGATTACCGTAATGCGTTCTCATTGAATTAGATCTCGCTGATGTCTTTTTGAGACAGACAGACATTTATCTTTTATATTATTCCAGTGCAGCCCCTCCCCAAGTTTATGTAGCCCTCTAAAATTTCATTAGATGTATTACATGTTAATCATTTTTGTGTGTTGTTCTTGATGCTGACATATTATCCCAAGGGAAAGCCATTTAGCTGTTGGCTTCCAGGTTTTTTTAGTTTGTGTTTTATTTTTGTTTTCTATTTCTTTTGTTCAGAAGCTGGTCATGATCCATTTGTGGTTTAGGACAACACTGTAAAGTCACTCTTTCTGTTTTTCTGCATTGCTTTTTCTCTATATAAATTCAATACGATTCCCAACGTTCCTTGCTTTTGACCTGATGCAAACAAGCTTTGTGTATATATATATATGTACAGAGAGTGTTCCAGTTCTCTTATGTGAGAAAATAAAAATAAATCCCTGCCAACTATCAACATCAGAATTTGATCTTGTGATTTTTCTTGTTGTTTTTAATGTCTTTGTGCAGATTTTATTTTAATGTGCTTTCTGATCAGTCAAATGGACCATAGGATTCAGATTTTTTAGTGTAGATCCACAACTTGTGAATCACCCGATCAAGGACATGCCCCTCCATAAACTGTGGCCTTCCAATTCCTTCATAAATCACCTGCTTTGAGCACTGCTGGATAGATGGAGGAAAAGAAACCTGATTAGTCCCCATTCATCCCTCTCAATTTGCTGAGTCACATGTTCTGGTGATGAGAAAAGTATTGGAAAAGAGAAGTAAAGATTAAAGATAAGTATTGACCTATGTAATATCTCATCGGAAAGTTTTATATAGGCATAGCTAGAGGTGCCTTTCAATAAATGTTTTGAGCAGGTTTCAAATAATTGTTGGAAAATACTGGAAACATCTATCAGACTGGATTTAGATCTTTCTACTCCAAGTTGTGACCCTCTGAAGGATTTTTTTTTTGAGAAGATACATTTTTTGAAAATTGTCATCCAATTACTTTTAAATGAAAATAATTTTTGTTCATGTCCTGTGATTTTAGATGGGGTCTTATTTTAATGCTTCTAATATGCAACTGGCTCTTGATTTCCATAGAATTGCACTTTTTTCATTCAGAAGAAGAGGTCCATTATTACTAAGATGCTTTTTTCTGCATGTTATCTTAATCTCTACACTATAATATTCGCTCAGGGTCATTTCACAATGAATTCAGAAGACCAAAGTCTGCCTAGTTGCCATGTTGGAATTTATTGTATAGCAGAAAGAAACACTTTTTTGAGGCTGGGTACTACACTTTAAAAAAAAAAGTCTTTAATGAGCTGAAATACCAGAAATGGTGTATTGATGTCATTAAAGGAGCTATGACTGCATTTTATCCCTTTTTATGCTTGTTGTAATCTGACTTTTTTTTTTTAAAGAAAAAATCATTAGCTGTGCTAAGCTTCCACTTGGCTTACACATGTAAGTGGTGCTACTAGTAAATACCCGGTAGTATTAAAAAAGATCACTTCTAACATTTGTTTCTGTTATTTTAAAATCTTTCTCAATGTTTAAGCCTTTCTTTCTTCTGGCATGTTCCTTTTTTTCTCCAATCTGCTTTGCTGATTTGTTCTAGTCTTCCAATGGTGATGGATACTTGCTGTGCTTTTCTGGAATTACCCACAATTTTTGTAGAATCATTTTTTGTGAATATCTATTGCATGAGAAATTCCTCAAGAGGAGACATGTTTAAGGAGAACTGAAAATCTGCAGTGGGAGCAAAAGAGATCTTACCCTACCATATCCTCTGCTGAGAAATAGAGCTTGGAATTATCAGCCCTTCCGGAAGGCAGGGTCTTGTGTTTCATTTTGTTCTACGTACAAGGCTTAGTTGAGGCACTTTAGACATTTGTACTGGGTCAATACTAGCCATGTTTTACAGGCTCAATTAAGCCTATGTATGCTTTGCCTAAGGGCACAGAGTGAATTTATCAGGGGTAAAGCCATGTCTTTTCACTATATCAAAATGACCATTGTGTTTAACAACGTGTACCAGGTACTTGAACAACAAATAAATGTAGTGTTAACGGCACTGGATGGTTGCTCAAAATATGGGATATTTCCATTATCATTTTCACCTCTGTGCTTTCATCAGTCAAACTCATCGGGAAAATGAGATAGTTGCATTGGATGAAAGTTTGTTTCCATGGCAACACATTGATTTCTTTATTTTTAATATAAATCTCCAGAATGCAGGGTGACAAGCAAGTGAAACATGGGGGAAGGGAAGAAAGTGAAAAGAAAAATTATCCCCAAATGAGCATAATGTGGTGAGAACAACATCAAAGGAGAGAAGAAGGAAAATTAACTTAAGATTTTCATTAAACAAGGGCAGGTTTAAAGATGAGCAATTCTGTGAAAGCGTGTTACGAATGTATCTTCATTCCTAGAAGGGTTGATCTTTGGAAATTTGATGGAGTTTGCTATCCAGTGGGATGAAATTGTTTTCAAAGATAAGTAGCTTCTATGCAAGCAGTCCCCACTGAATGCCAAATAAAAATTCAAATGGTGTGCTTTTATAAAGAGGAGAAAGAGATCTTAGAAGTTTCTAGGACTTTTTCTCAGCCATTCTGCTGGTTTTGTCACTTTAGAAACTCAATCCTAGTTTCTAAGACTAGAGTCCTTCAATAGGGAAGAGACATTTGTACTGTACTGTATCACAGCTGTGCAATTTTACTGCATAAAATGACCAGGCCATCCTTCCTCCATTGGATCCCCCATAAATGCACTGAGATTCTGAGAATTTCTAGCCATGATGGGTATTAACACTCTTGCTAAGTGCAGGGGTAGGAGGCTGGTAGAATCTTCCGTTGTGGCAGAATATCGAAGCAAATGCGTATTCCTTCAGCAGACTTGCATCTTCTAGTTTGTGAGCAGCAGCAAGTCAGAATAAACAGTAACAGGCTAGGACAGGGGTCTTCAAACTTGGCCCTTTTATGACTTGTGAACTTCAACTCCCAGAATTCCTCAGCCAGCGTGCCTGGCTGAGGAGTTCTGGGAGTTGAAGTCCACAAATCATAAAAGGGTCAGGTTTGAAGACTCCTGGGCTAGGATGATCAATGGTTTGAATTGGTATAAAGCATTTTTCTGTTAAACCTCATTCTTTATGATCAAAAGTTAATCTTCAATGCTGAATGTTCAGAATTTGCCATCAAGTTCAAACTTTGAATTTTAGAAATCCACATAAAAAGTAAAACCTGCCTTCTTCGGACAGAACTAAGGATCATTAATTCCCAAATTGGTCCCCTTCACCTAACTGTTTTGAGGCTTTTCTGTCAGATTACATTACCAACAGGTCTCAACATCTCTAGAGAAAGAGGGAAGGAAATGAGAGAGTAAGCCATATACCTTAGGAGAGGGGGGATTTTATTGCAGTATATCTTCAATGATCAAATCGACATGACAAAATGCCTTCATTTCCTGGTTAGGAAGGGAGGAATCTTGCTGTCTCAGTTCGCTGGAGGTTTTCCAGGTAGAAGTGGTATATTTGTGAAATAACAATTAGAGTCCAGCTAAAGTGATGGCAACTTCTATTGCTTGACTTCATTCTGCTGCCCTAACTGTAGATGGTAACATGAGGACCTACCTGCCTTTTGACTGCTCATTTGGAATGAAAACAGACATGATAAACTTTGATGACTTATTTAGCATGGCTAAATATTGACTGGCTTCAAATATTGCATGTTGGGGGAATGTCCCAACTTCATTTTCAGTTTCCTGGTGACTTTAAAACTGTTTTGATCAAAAGTTTTATCCGTTGCTATTGCCAAATTGGAACTGGTCCTGAAGTTTCCTTTCAGCTGACTCAGCTGCTAATTGCCAGTAGTTCAATCCTCAGCCTTCCAGCCTTTAGAGGCTGGTAAAATTTGAGGACCCAGATTTTGGGGGCCAATATGCTGACTCTAAACAACTTATAGAGGGCTCTAAAGCACTGTGAAGCGGTATATAAATCTAAGTGCTATTGCTATTGTTTTTTGACACAATATCACTGGTGCCTGTTTCATGGATGCCAGCAGTACCCTTGCTGTAGGCAAATAATAGCTACTTCTGTTTGAGCCACTTCTCTCATCAGTTTGGGCCACTAAAAGTATTGAAACCCAACTTTATTCTGTCCAGAGTTATTGCACCAAGTATAGGAGCTACGTACTTGATATTTGGTCTTAAATGCTACATTTGGGAAATGTGTTCTTTCTTCCACCATTTTATAAGCTTTTCCAGTATATTTTCAGACTATGCGGAAGAAGAATCAGTTATTTTTGATTCTAGTTCTAAAAGTGGTCAACAGTAACTTTACAAGGGCTATCCTCCTTAGTTGCATGACATCAGTGATTCTGGCCAGTTCTAAGATTGCTGTGGCACTCTCAGAAATTGAAAGATGAATCCAACCTAGAGACATGCATAATAAGCAAGGGGGTGGAGTGGTGTTTCCCAGCAAAATCCTCATAGTCCTGGAAAAGTCCAAACTGAACAGGTGCAGAATCCTATTTATATGAATTCACAGATGAACATCATCCAGATGCTAATTCCTTTTCTTTAGTAAAGCGGAACTCTTGCCTGCTTTATAATTCTGAGCAGGCCATATGCAGAAAGAACATCTGTCCTTCTATGACAAGAGCACCCATGCATTGAGAAGAATACTATTTCTATGACTTCAGTATGAATTGTAGAGAAGGAAAATGAAGACTTTTTCTTGTGTAATCATTTTCTGCATCATTGCACCAAAAATGGTTATTCGTTGTATGTTGTCAAATATACATACAAGATTAAAAGATATACAGTTTTCACCAAGCATTATGGCCTCTGACCATAGCATGGATTATTTTTTGGGCTTAAGATGCAAAAGACACCACGTGTTTGGTCTTGGATCAGAGGCGACAAACCTGTCTTCTAGTTGTCACTCAACTAGCCTTCTCAACAAAAGCATAGCCAATAATAATGGATGCTGACTGTTTTAGTTTTGCAACATTTGGAAGATCACAGGTTCCCCAATTCTGTTTTGGATTAATGAAAACTATTAACACTTTCTTAACAGCCCCCCTAGATGGCATGCATGGACCCCTAAAATTAAATAAAAATAATTCAACTTTAGGTAAATAGTTAAAATACTCCAGAAATGCTAAAATTTAGTGTTCCTATATAAGAACACATTTATGCAAGTGCTAATAGCTCATAAGATGTCCCATCTCTTCCAATTTTCATTCTTTAAAAAAAAGTAATAGAAATTTCAGGGAAGAGAAATAGACTACTAATGCTACATCAAGAATCAAGAGCTCATGGCTTAAGAGTGGATAAATCTGAATTTGAAATTATCTTGTTTCCTCATCTGTCTGAAGGGTGTTCCATTTCTATGTAAAAAAAAAAGAGGTCCACACAAAGATTCATAAATGTTTGTGATAGATTCATAGATTTTTCCTAATACATGTATAAAT